AAAAATAGGTATCTGACATGCACTACGCGGTATATTGAACTAATTTCGTTATATTTTAATTTAAAATAACACTAGCGTAAATATATGATTTATATTACGATGCTCAATGTACGCCCTTTTTATTTTAAGTTTAAATCAAAATTAAAATAAATATAATTTGTTTAAAACTGCCTAGTACTATTTATGTTCGTTAGTAATAAATTTATTGTTTTATTTACACAAATAATTTCATTAAAATAATAATCGTCTACATTAGGGTGTCTATATTAGAAATATATTTATTGCTTTTGCTTGTTTTAAAACCCGTATTTAAACCTAATATTTATTTCTTAAACCCGAAAAATATTAGGCCCAATAAATAAAAAATAGCCTAAGGCCACAATGGAAACCGATAAAAATAGTTATCGAAACATCCGTTGGATGATGTCAAGTTGACTTATTGTCAGGTAGATCCTATGTAAACATTATTTTTTCTTCGTTTTTTTTTGTTAGCATTCTCCTTTGCTTATTCTTGGGATATTTGGGATAAGATTTTTGTTTTCCTTTGAGAAAAGAGAAGGTAAAAGAAAACAAACAGTCCTTCTGTTGTTCTTTAATAAATTATTTTTTGTTGTATTAAATTACTTTGTTAGATCTATTATTATTAGCTCTCTATGATATTTTTTTATATTAGAAACTAGTTTTAAAATATATTTATATTTAATAATTTTATCTGTATATATATATACAGGGTGAGTCTTAAATATGTGCAAATATTTTCAGGGGTGGTATATTTCGACCCAAGGAACACGTCTATGAAGGAACAAGTCTTTTTCGCAAAAAAAATGTTGAAAATCGTGCATTTTGTTTTAAATTTCCCTGTATATTTTTCGAAAACTTTTTAGAACTGCCTATTCACCGCAAATTTTCCCACGATCTAATTTTTTAATATCTGATATTACCATGGTTACGGCACTAAAAGGGATGCAACATTACCACTTTCTAAACGACCTATATTTGGAATTATTCATCTGAGAAAATGCAATTAACAAGTCAAAATTTCTGAAAAGGGGTGAAAATTTCAAAAAAGGTGTGAATAAAATACGCTGTATTAAAAAGTGCAGAAATACTAGTTGTGCCATTATGATTAATTTATCTATTTCAGTATTCACATAATAAATAACTCTAGAATAAAACACACCCCTTTAACTGGTTTTAAGTTTAATTATAACTTTATGTATAGCATACATTATTACATCTCTACTTAGTACCTGTAATAACAAACACCTAAAATGTTTGTTTTGCGTGTAATAAATTGTTTTTGCTCGGTTTTTAGTGTCTTACCTTGTCAGCACAAGCCAATCTCTATTAAATGTTTATTTTTCTGAGAGTTTGCGTGTATTAAAATAATGTGGATGGAATTCAAAATGTTCTACTTCCTACCTATCCATCTCTTATTGTTCACATGCAATGTATTGCAATTTTTCAAATGAGAAAATAATGAGCTTAACAAAATTAAAAACGATTTTTTTAACGATCTATGAATGAATAAATGAATTTAACATTTCTGATGTTTGAAATTCGTTTGGAATACCTATAATATGATAGAGTGATATGATTTATTAATGTAATAATGTATTAAAAGTTGGCAAATTATAACCAAATCGTATATTACGGAAAATAAAAATGCTTCATACACAAACTGTACATATTATACCTTTCATTTAAAACAAGAATCATCAAAATTGGTGAAACCAGGTGATGGATGGGACAAAAAAAACAGCTTTTAGTTTTTAGTATATTATTGAGAAAAGTTAAAAGTTTGTTAACTTCTTCTATTAATTGAAAAGTACTACGTCTAATTTTAATGTTTTGAAAGCTTAGAAATTAGGGGAACAAACAGTTAAGCTTCATTCAGAACCTCGCAATTAGTGGAATAAATTAGTGGTTTCAATTAGCGTAGAAATTTGTTCCTTTAATTTCAATGTAAGCATTCAGAACTTCAAAATTAGTGGAAGACATTTTCAATTAGTAGAAAAAGTTATCAAATTTTTAACTTTTCCACTAATTATATTTAAAAATTTGCGAGAAATATCATTTTGGCTTTTGATTATCTTTCGTCAATAGAAATTATGGTTAGAAATCAAAAGTTGGCTGTTTTATAATCTAAATATTAGACTTATGGATACAACTGAGTAGCCCAAGCTGTTGCTTGGATATTCTATTAATTTTAATTGTGTTTTTTAAAAATTGTGAATGATCGTAAACTAGAAAGTATCAAGTGTAATTGAAACCACTAATTGCGTGGTTCTGAATGAAGCTGAATCCTAATTGAAACCGCTGAATGAAGCTGTAAACTAATTGAAACTTATTCCATTAATTGTAAGGTTCTCTCTGAAACCTAAGAAAATCATGTTTTTTTAATTTTGTGTTAAATCGTAGTGAAATCCAAATTTCTACTTGATTATTACTATTTGTTTTCTATATTTCTCCCTTATATTTTCGTTATTGCTATACTGATTTAAAACAAATATTTTATTATGGGAAAGTCGGAAAGTCAAATAACGAAAATATCAATACTTCTGTTTATTCTAGCGATATTTCGTCGTTATATCTTCTGTCTGTCACCTTTGCTCTTCTAATATTAAATCGTGATTGAATCAGTGCCTGGGCGTCCCCAAAGGGAATACGCTGGCCCTTCGAGACGAAACGGAAAGATATGTCGAGAATTTTTTGTGTAAACACGCTGTAATTTTTATTGAAGAAAATCGGATTTGATTTATATCCTCCCCTCTTTCTTCTTTGATCGTTCTTTCCGTGGAGCGTTTGACCCAGATTTGTTGACTATCTTTGTAATTTGTTTTAACTGGGGTACCTACTTTGAAATTATAATATTCATTGATTTTTATTCATTCCGTTATATTATTATTTACAAATTTCTTTCCGCCTAGATTAATTCATTTATTTTCCGCGAGAATTCACTTCCTTTTAACAGAGTTTCTTTTATCTGTACATCTAACTCTTCTTCTAGTCCTGTAATTGCGCTTGATTAACTATTCATATTTTTATGTTCAAGAATTTTATCAAAATATTTCCATACAGAGCGTCACTGTAATTTTGTTTTCTTTTACGAAGATTGTCCATCACCATCATGTATAATTATACGTGGTGCGTCTCAAAAGTGACTCACCCCTATAACTTTTTTATTTTTTCAGATAAAAAAAAACGATATCTGGTATGTTAGTATATTACATAAGCTAGGATTGATTGACGTATTCAATTGCTTTTGGGCACTTCCTGTTTCACCGGAAATGATTACAACTTTTGATTTTTAAATGGCACCCATGGTATATTTTTACTTTATTCGATAGAAAATGACATTCTGAATAGAATGACAGTCAACTTTTGAAATTGTCGCATATGGTTTATTTAAAATTATAACATGCGATTCATAACGACAATTTGACTCGAAATACCAAGTGTGTGGTACCAAATTATTGGTAAAAAATACTTTTTTCAAATATGGTAATGAACCACCATTTGAAAAAATTGAGATATGATTAAAAAAACGATTTGGGCATCTTTTGACCGACCAGGACAAAACACGAAAAACATTATATGATCAAATCTATTTTTCCAAGGCTCCTTGATTAAAAATTAGTGTTTTTAACACAGTTCTTGATTAAAAATTAGTGTATTTAACACAGCCATGACACTCTAGATTGAATAATAAAATACCATAAAATACCATATTTTTTAAGCGAGAATGTCAAAAGTTGACATATGAAATGCCATTCTATTCAGAGTGTCATTTTCTATGGAATAAAGTAAAAATATACCGAGAGTTCCATTTAGATATCAAAAGTTGTAGTCATTTCCGGTGAGACAGGAAGTGACCAAAAATAATTGAGTAGGTACGTCAATCAATCCTAATTTATGTCGTATACTACCGTACTAAATCTCGTTGGTGAGCCACTTAGTGAGACGCACCCGGTATAATGCTAGTAGCATGACATCACCGTTCTTATTACTGAAATCACTAGAATGGGAGCTTAAAATAATATCTATAGTGTTGAACTGCTATACTAGGATTGGCCATAACGAATTGTCTAGAGTTAAACCCGTAAAAGTATTTTTGTAAATCTCTCAAGGGGTTGTAATAAAATTAATTATTTTTTTAGAGAATTGTAAATAAACAATGCTAATTTATATTTTCTTCTTTTTACTTATTGTCAAAAATTGTGATCTAGCTAAGTGAGTTACTGGCTTAATAATTACTTTAAGGCTATTTAATTATTTTATTACTTACTAGGTTAAATAATGCTACTGATGACATGAGGAGCAGACTTTCTAGATGCGTTTTTTTTTTTCATTTTTTCGAATTACGTCAAACAAAGCCACGCTTTTTGCAAAAAACCTACCGAGAAACTAGTATACTTGTAAAATGGATAAAAAATCATAAAATTACACTTACATCTGAAAAATCTAGTTTTGATGATATCTAAAAAAATTAAAAAAACTGTTGACTGTCCTTAATTCGAATGGGATAAAATGTATTTAACACGTCGCTTCTGGCATCATATTGTAATTCTGTGTATGTAGCAATATATCCAATATTCCATCAACATCCAAAGACACGGATCGTTCTTTGTACACCTTCTGGTTTTATAGTCGTATTCGCTCTAAAAATAATGGGTTCTCTGAGTCGGTGTATTTGTACCTGTATTATTTATATTTTTTGTTGTTTAGGCAAATTTGTTTTGGGAGTAGCTACTCCCAGTTTGGGAGTAGGTACTCCTACTTTTGGGTGTCAGGTACTGACAAACCAGGTTTTATGTGGTTTCTAACGCAGTGGCATTTTACAAAAATTACTTTTTTTGTTTTCTAGATTTTATTTTTATTGGCAAAATGCCCAGGTTTCTTTCTAATAAGGCCTAACAAATCCAATTGATTTAAAAGGACCTAAATATTTTTTAACGAAAAAAAACTCATTTAAACCATCAACTCTTTTTTAGACTTACAGTGCCGAAACTTGTTAAGCACTCTCCTCGCTAGCCACCGCCTCACTCCAGCTCCTCACACCCGCTCATAAAACCTCTTTAGCTCTTAATCTCGCCCACGTCACCTGCGACCGAAGAAACAAACAAACACGACGACCAAGCAACACGTAACCGGGGAGGCGTAACTCGCCGAATGACCGCGGGGGCGCTGCACACCCCTCTCGCAACAAGTTTCCACGAGCAGACGCACCGCCAAACTGATATCTTCGTCGCGACGCCGACGCCTCCGTAAGGGTGACTCTATCCCCCCTCCTTGCCGCCCTTGCTTCCATCCCCTCCGCCCTCCCGGAGGAGACCCTCTATTTGTATTCCCGCCCGATCCAGTATTGCTCTCTGAGCTTTCTGCTTATTCTGGATTAGGAGGAACGACTGGGTCGGCGGTCAGGCGAGTTTATTATGTTAGGTCCGCACCTGCTGCGCTTTTGCCTGGTGCAGTCGATCTGCGGTCGGGATTTGATCGGTTCATAACCTACGATATCCACAAATGTACAGGGTATTCTAAATTCTGGAGTGGCTATTTAGTCTGGTCATCTTGTACTCAAAAATGCCTTTTGGAGGAAAGTTTTGATGAACCGGAATATCGGAAAGACCAAAATAACAGTTTTGGTTGTTCTGCCAGTGAGCATATACCTCATGATACCGTATTAAAAAATGTAAATAGAAAGTGCTCGTGCCTGTAACGTTAAGTAAATACGATAACGTAATAAATACGGTATTTTGAGATTCTCATTGTTTACGTCCACATTTCCGGCATATTTTTGATTTCTTGTCCAACATTCTCTTTACTTATAAACAATGGAAAAAGTACTGAAATGCTGCTGTTCTTGAAGATATAAATAGAGCGGAAATAAGATGCTATTTTACATATTTTAAATAATAGAGTAGATGTTATTGATATACTAAAAAAAGAAGACTAGATTACTTGACCAAAATAGACTAGCAATGCCTTAAACATACATCAAAATATTATACCGAATGATCGTTAGATTCGCACCTGCTGGGCTTTTGCCTGGTGCAGTCGGCCTGCGGTCGGGATTTGATCGGTTCATAACCTACGATATCCACAAATATACAGGGTATCCTAAATTCTAGAGCTGCTATATATTTAGTGTGGTCATCTTGTACTCAAAATGCCTTTTGGAGGTAAGTTTTGGCCTAGTTCTGATTTCTTCAATTTATTATGTTTTTTTGGGGTGCTAAATTATTCGTATCTGATGTTTGCTAATAAAATTTCGTGGCGGAACATGAATATTATGCATTTTTTCTAGTCAAACTTTTTTAACTTCGCCAAATTCACTCGCCGTCATCAAAATTCTAAAGTACTTTAGATGTGTCCCTAACTTCGAAGTTTGAATTTTTGGTAGCTTTAAGCTAAAATCTCGAAATATCCATATGGATCAAAAGTCAGCTATCTAGCCGCTACCGGTAACCGACTTTCCGGCGATGATAATAGGTGATGGATTGTTTCGAAAATTTGGATTTTTGTATAAAAGCACCTGCTCCATCTATCTAAAATTTTATCAACGTTACAGTGTTGCCTGATTATTTGAAAAGTGGTAGCATCTTTGTTATTTTAAATGGAACATCCACTATATTATTACATTTTTGGAAACTACTCTCACATCATATAATTTTTTTATTACACTAACCTATCTCTTATAGTTTTCGAGATAAAAAATAAAAATATGTGTAAAATTGACAAAAACGTGATTTTGAATACGCAATGGTAATATTACGAAATGAACATTTTTAAAGTTGATATTTAGGTTACAATGAAAGTCGGAAACACAAGTTGTTAGAAAACTAGAATTAATCAATTTGATATTATCTAACTTTATACGATAATTCAAAGTTTATGAATAAAAGCTAGTCAAACTTCTTTAATACTACAGGGTGACCCATCGAAAACGTTCCGCTAGGCATAACGGCCAGGGTAATTTCTTTTTTCAGAAAATTCAAAAACACGTCAATTTTGTTTATGAGGGGGACAACGTTTGCCCCAAAAATGATTGCAAAATCTTCAACCCTCTAAGGGGGGGTGTCATCCCCCAATTTTTTTCAAATGGGAAGGGGAGTCAAGTGGTACCGCAATGAAAAGGGCTTTGTATTCTCTATACTTTCCGGCTTCGTTTTTGAAAATCGGTAGAGTCATTGAGAATATATGAAGGATTGAAATTTGAAAAGTTTATTTAAACATTTATCAGAGTAAATGATAAGGATAACTTTCTTGGACCAATTTGCTGGTTTTTCTTATTATTGTTTGGTTTGGTTTGGTTTACGCATTTTACGTTCCTACTACTCTAGTGGCGGAAATCTAACTGTTACGCTCAGTTGGCTCTGACTCGGTTGGCTAGATTTTGCCACGCCCACTCGGTGCCCACTGAGCGAGTATATAAACGCTCAACTTGTAGATTGTACTTTAGTTTATAATCATCTGCTGATGATGCTAACATGGTTAGCGAAACGCGCGTCCAGTGTAAAAGTAAAAGTGTTTTGGTGTATTGTGGTGATTTAGTGTTTTCATTTTACAGAAAGGTAATATATATCAATTTGGAAATAGCGAAAACTATTTTAATATGGGTAACATAAGAGGCTTCAGAAGAAGCAGACGCAAAAGCAATGGCAGAAGCCAAGTGAGTTAAATGGGTGAAAGAACTGTAAGATTGAAATTATAGTGGAAAAGATGAAGCTTTCAAAATTTTAATAATTCTATTATATTTACATTACAAATGTGGCTTTAAATGAAGGAAATTACTGCACGTGTGACCGAGGAAGGGCTGCGCATTAGCTTGGTGCAGTTTGTCTGTGGTTAAACTGGAGACGATTCTGCAACTGGATACTGCACGATATTTGAGTTTGGAATACGTTTATGTTACTGCTACGTTAAATTTGCGGTTGCTGATTGTTTGTGTTGTCGCAGTTCGGATGCGGTTGTTCTATAATAGTCTTACGTGAGTTTACATGTGAGACTAGATTAGTGCCAAAGTAACAGGAAATTTCAAAATGGGCGAGAAAATCGGCAAACTATATTTATTAAAATATTTTTCCATTATTTGGAAAATTTCTCCGGAACTTTATCCAAGAAAATTATTCTTGTCAGCCATTGTTTTCACACCTGAATTATTTTGAAAGTAAATATAGTCTGTGTTGGTGTAGTTTGACTGTATTCACTATCATTTTTTTATAATTTCATATAGCCATATTTCACATTATACCTATGTGTGTATATATCCTACGATCTGAAAAAAATGGAATCAAAGACGCCTGGGGAATGACAATCGATGATAATTTTGGCGAGGTCAATCTCTAGACGTCATTTACTAAAAATTGACATATAAAACTTGTCAAACATTAATACTAATTATAGGTACTTGTAAGGTTTAACAATAACATGTTTTTTAATGAGGACTAATATTATAATAATGTGTATTAATTTAATAGAAAATTTTAGCAAAAAATATTTTTTGGGATATTTTCAAAGTAAAATAACTCGGTTATTTTGGATTTATTTAAAAAATCGTAAAGAGAAATTATGTATTTTTTATCGAGATCTACCAGCTCTGAAAATATTTGCACTTATTTACGACTCACCCTGTATATATTGACACTATATCGCAGCAGGTCGTAAACGACTCTACCGGGTGTCTCACTAAGAATAGCTCTCGGCTGTATCTCGGAAAGTATTAGCCGTGTGGCTTATGGAAAAAAATATTTATAACTAAAGGGGCTATAAGAAATTGATGGAAATTATTTTCAAGTTTGTAAAACGGCCGCTAGGTGGCGCAACAGCAATTTCCCATAGTCTCTTCAGTTATAGATATTTTTTTTCCGTAGCCGCTACGGCTAATACTTTCCGAGATACAGCCGAGAGCTATTCTTAGTGGGACACCCTGTACAGCCCATAGGCCGCGAGGACTGGTGCGTCAAAATTTCGACTTATTATCTGTGTATATGTACATATATGTTCGCGAACGTTCTGTTCGCCTAGCTTGGACGCGACTTAAGAAAAACTCCTAATTACCTTCTTTTTCTTTTCAGGTCTGTACTCTCCAGTTGGCTAAACATCTATGGTAAGTTTGAAATTTTTTAAATTTAAATTTGAATAATATACAGTGCTTGTCTTCACAACAAGACATACTTTTTTATCATTAAACTCTTTGAAAAAAAATGAACTCAATTTTTTCTGTAAAATAGCATGTAAATTTAGAAAGGTATAAAAGAAATTAAGCATATTAGAACAAGCAAAAACTTTGATTAGGAATACATAATAATAGCTCCCGTATATAGCGTTAAACGCCCTGGGAGTAAATTAAGTTGATTAGGAATGCATATTTCTCAAAAACATGTTTTCCTCTTGTAAGGACAATATCTAGACTTATGGTTATGTTTAGTAATTTACTTAAAAATCTTTCTTTTGACTGCCTTTTTATGTGCGTTGGTGCTGTTAATCCATTCCGGTAGAGGCTAAATCTTGAAGAGTTGTTCTTTCGTGTTAATTAATTTGGAAGATAGATCCGGTGAGGAAGTTGGAGGAGCAAGGGGAGGATGAATTGGGGAAGAATTTTAGTTTTATTGCGGTCGTAAATTTGCCTCGATTTGCAAGAAACTTTTTGGGTGGTCGTTTTTCTCCCTCTTTGGGGTTAAAACGGTCATGTAATTAGTTTTTTGGGGTGATATTTTGAGGAATTGGTTGTGCTGTAATATTTGTATTATTGTATTATAAAATTTAATACTATAAATTTATTTTAGACTTTAGATTTTTCAACAGTTATTTAAATAAATTTATTTTGAATACACTGTTCCTGCATGAAAATCGACCCAGACACTATTCCTGCCGATTCTTATATAAATTTTGACATCTTGAATCCAAATATGATCTCCGTAATTATAATAAAATCAATAGACGTGATCGACTTATATTTTACATATTTCAGCTTCTATCCTTAGTAGGTACCTATACAGGGTGTCCCAGAAATAAGTGCAAATATTTTAACTGGTAGTATAGTACAACCACAGAAACACACCTATGAGGTTTTTTTGCGAAAAAATGTTGAAAATTTAAAATTTTTCTTGATATTTTCCGGAAAATTTGAAAAACTATTTAGTGCCACTTGTTTAATCACCTGAGATTTCTCTACGGTGTATCTAAACCTTGCAGTGTTGCAACGTCCTATGTTATCCACATTCTACATAGTTGTACATTTATAAGTTCATAGACAAATTTCTACTCAAAAAAAATTAGGAATGTTAAAT